ACTTTTTCATGGTTCATCAGAAAAATCCCATCCAATGCTCATTTTGAAGGGGATGACATTTCCTACAAATCATCTTCACATTCCAAGTCCAAGAAATTCTCTCACAAAAAGTTATCAATTTCAACATTATAAGTCATTTTCAAAAGTCAACAGAAAGGCATTTTAAGTCAAAGACCATAACTTGAGATTGGTAAATCAAAATGACATGGGACCAAAGGAATTGGTTAAAGGACTTCAAGACCTTTCCAAAATGTCCAAGAACATGTTCATATGATCAAAATTGAGCAAGATATGCATTGGAGAAGTTGGGAAATTTTTGTGAAATGGGAAAAGTCAACTATCCTTAAAACTTCAATTTTTGACAAAAGGGCCCACTTTCTTCCGCTTGATTCAGCCTTGTCATGCCACCCACGTGTCCCATGATTAATTTCAAGACCAAACATTTATTTTTTCATTTTTATTTAATTTTTGTGGATTTAATTCATTTTAATCCATAATAATTCAAATAAAATCAAAAAAATTAATTAAATGGCATCTTTGTGGTTTGAATGGCTTTCATACATCATATGCCAACTACCAAATTCGTGTAAGGCTATTTTGAGCACAAAATCATGGTTTTGCTTCAAACTTGGAAAGTCCTTTAATGGTGTTAAAGCAAAATCCAAAAACTTAATTGCAATGGATCCCAAGCTCATAATGTGACCTAATTTCATTCACATGTACATATGCAAGCAAGCCAAGCCTCATTCACGACCTGAACCTTGCACAAACGGCCAAACCAATTCCAAAAAAAACTCAAGAAAATTCAAAACTGAAATCCACCTTCCAACGTAATTCCAAGCCTTTTTTCATTTCTAACACTTTGCTGGAACTCTCAGGAGTCTTTTGGAATCAAAGTCAAGGGCTGAAGCTTGAGAAATCACGCCAAACAAAATCACGGTTTGTCAATATTTTTCAAAATCGAAACTCCCAATTCATGAACATTTTGTGTGATTTAAAGCTTGTTTTATATTGTTTGCAACCATACAAAGCTATTCATATCAATTAATTGGATTATCATGTACATGATTGTGATTTGCCATTAACAACTTTTAGGGTTTTTAAGTTTGTGAATTAGGGCTTTGCTGCCCAGACAAAATTGGACTATCTCACGCACATGGTTGAACTCAAGAAATCAAGACGAACCAATCCCAACCCTCGCGCCCAATTTATATAGAGCATAGCTTTATTCGTTATTTTTTGTCATTTCATTTTGTGGGGGTTAAAAACCCCCGCTAATTGTTTTGTTTTACAGGGAAAAAGGATGAAGACGAAGGACGTGTCAGCTGGCTAATGGAGAATTCAAATGGCGCGCGCTTTTTGGTTATTTTGCAATACACGCGTTGTTATTTACATAATAATTTCATTGTTTATTGTATTAACAATTACAGGCACATGGCTCAGTGGTGAATGCGCTGTCTATCAACCATTGGGACCTGGGTTCGATTCCCAGGTCTCCCAAACCTTGTTTCATATTTTTCCAAACATATTCCTATGCAGGCTAGTCAATGTACTCCACCATAAACCTCACAAATCCACGCGCCAAGTGGCCAGTCCCACAGATCTGAAGGCCAAGGAATGAAGGAACACCATGCTCCCTGGTCAACGCGCCTCTGGACGATTCAAGAAAGTCAACAAAGCTTGAGATAATGGGCCTCAGATTTCCAGAATTCACCCCTATTCTGGGTCCAAACCCCCTTGGTTTTATCTTTTTATTTTTCTTTTCTTTTATAATTCCTTTTTTATTAATCATTAGTATTATTATTAGTTAATTAATCTTTTCAAAAAAAACAAAAAAAACCAAATATTTTTATTATTCTTATTTATTAATTTCACTACTAATTATTTTTGTGAATAAATTCTAACAAATTAATTAGTTAATTAGGTTTAATTTTAATTTTCTTTTTATAATAAATAAAATCAACTTAGAACTTAGGTTTTCTCTAACTTTTGACTTCTAATTTCTTTTTATTTTATTTCATAAAAAACATAAAAATACAAAAAAAACATTTTTTTTCTTTTAATAAATTAATTAATTAGTTATTAGTTTTAATATTTAATTAATTGCAAAAAGGGACTAAATTAAATTCTTTTCTCAAAAGGGTCAAAACCCTAGGACGTTCCCGATTCAATCTTCTTTCGCGCTTTAATTTCTTTTGATTATATTTATGTATCTGTACAGAGTATGTAATAGTTAATTAGGATTTTACCGCCTTATTTAAATTCTCGCACTTTATTTTCCAAAACGAGTTTTTGTTTTTGGCGATGTATAGACCCGCGTCTTGTAATAGCTAGATTTACATTTCTGTAATTTATTTTCCGCATTCCCAACTGTTAATATGTCTGCAAGAATGTATGACAAATAAAATCAATCTGTAGCTCACAAATAACATGTACAAAGACAATTAACTGAAAAACAACACACATGCACATGCCACCCCTAGGGTACGCCTCACCGGTTGCCTCGAACGTGGTCATCAAGTATAGGGTGTCTTAGAGGTCGCCCTTTGTCTAAAGATCCAGTTGCCTCGAAACGATTGCCTCGGATAAAAGGATATAGGACATTAGGGTTACCACTAAGATGTCCTACCATTGCTTAGGTGACCACACATGTCCCTTAATCGAATTGACCCGAATAACTCCAACGATGGTGCTACCTACCTCTCAATGGTGGGATAACACTATCTAAAGGACTCTTACACAGCCTAATTCTTTAGAGTAGGTAGATTTCTCTTAAGTACTTGCTCTTTTCAAAACAAACAAAAATACTTTTCGCACCCACACTTTCAAAAGGTTTTCAAACAAATTTTTCATACACTCTTGAGGACAGATACAAGAGTTACTTAGAAATCTTTCAAACGAAACTTTTTCAAAACCCACACACACTTGAAAAGCAAACAAAATTTTGAAAACATAAGAGCAAGTACCTAAGAGCCCGTGGATAACCACAGATAGAAAGGGTGCTAACACCTTCCCTTTCTATAAATCTACCTCCCAAATCGAGAACATTCTCGAATAAGGAATTTTGTTGTGCTTTTGTCCTTTCCATATTGGAGAACATAAAAGACGGTGGCGACTCTTGCTTACCGCGACATTTCGCGAAACCAACTTTAAAACAGTCAGTTCTATTTCCACCGATCACACACTACTAACCATGATTTAAGAAATGTAATTATTTTTCTTAATGGTTAATTTTGTAAATTTGACGGTAATCAATTTTATATATTGATAGTAGATTCTATAAACTAGTTAAAAAGTGTTACAAGAGACATTATTAAATTTATTATCTTTTTGAACTGGACTAATATTTTTGCTATTGTTAGCCGATAATCTTGCTAAAACATGAGCAACCACATTATGCTATCTACCCAAATGACAAAATCTAATCCCTCTGAATATGTTACAATCTTTTTTCAACCTCTTCAATATCCTTCCCATGATGTTTCTTGGCATAGTAATTTCGTTCATCTCCATCATCCTGATGAGGTTCAAGTTATCGGATTCAAACATCATCCACTTATAACCTTCATCGACCGCTGTTTCCACAACAAAGCAAAGGGTCATTGCTTCAACTTTCAGAGGTTGATTAGGACCTTTCATACTCTTAGTATTAAATTTGATCATAACGCCTTCTTTGTTCATGAAGATTGCCCCTAAATCCCAAATCCTATCTATCACAAGGCTTTAAAAAAAGTCCATTATCATCCAAAATTATAAATGTAACAAACATCCTTTACTCACTAAATTGATAGAATAATCATTTAAAATATTACAAAATTTAATAATCATAATAATAATAATAATAACTAAATGATTAACATTACTAAAATAAAATAAAATAAAATATTTTGAAAAAATTCAGCAAGAAGTATCCCTAATTACATAAATTTATTTCTAATAACAAACATAAAACATTATGTTTACACCCTTCAATTACATATTCTATCTCTAATGACTTTGAATAATAAGTAATGAGATGAGAATTTAATATGACACTCCTAAAATTATATATGCCAGCTCTGAATTTTTTTATTCCAATTTTATCTTTAGATGAGTTGAACATAATTTTCGAATGAAATTTTTGGTAGAAAGATTAAAATTTTCGGTATCACCCAAATTTTTGGTACACCCCTACGAAATTATGGTACCGTAAATTTTCAGTAGTGTATTTAAAATTTCGGTGTACCGGAAATTTCAAATTAATTGAAATTTTCGATAGTAATAAAACATGACAGTAAAAAAAATTGAACTATCGAAAATTTCAAAATTTCTGATATTTTGTGATGAACTGAAAATTTTAAAATTTCCGGTATAAATAGTAAATGAAAATATTAGATATTTTGAAATTTCCGATACAAAAATATCGGATATTTTGAAATTTCTGATACAAAATACTGAAAATTTTATCAATCTACCGTAAATTTTCACTTATTCGTGAAATTTCCGATGTCGGCTAAAAAATTGAAAAATCTGACTGATTATATAAATTTGGAATCTATGGTGAATGATTTGGATCTCAGCAATTTGGTCTTTCATAATATTATTGGGGGTGCCATGTATAATATTGGGGGTGATAAGTTAATTTCTCTAATGTGATGAAGGCCAAGGCCCAATTAATGTTTTAGACTTGTTGCTTACTTCTTCTCTCTCATTTTACTCCAAAACTTCACAGAACCAAACCTCCAAACCTCTCCGAACACTCTCTCTCTTCTCTCTCTCCACTTCTCAGGTTCGTTCCTTCACCGTCTTCTCACCATTTCCCCTTCTTTTTCCTTCTCCTAGATAGATCGCCGAAATTTCTACTTCACTTCTCTTTGTTTTAATTCAATTTACTCATTATAGCACTTCAAAATTCACATTTTGAATTTTTTGACTAGGGTTTGTATGAAAATCGATTGTTTATAGTGTTTTTTTTAATTGAAATTGTGATTGTTAGACTGTGTTGTTTGTAGTGATTTATCATGGGAGATAGTCAATACTCGTTTTCTCTTACAACTTTTAGGTATGATGGTTATTACTCTTCTCTTTCTTTCCCTCTCTGTTGATTCAATTGATAATTTTAACTGATTTTGATTTTGTTATGGATCATCAGTCCTTCTGGAAAGCTTGTTCAGATTGAGCATGCTTTGACCGCTGTTGGCTCTGGACAAACTTCTCTTGGAATTAAAGGTAATTCGTTCGATCTGCTTGTGATTCTTTGTTCTTCACTGTATATGTTGCTTTAGGGTTATATTCATTACCAAGCAGTACTTTAGTACCATTAGAGCCACACAAACGTTTTCATCGGAAAGTTTTGGATTCATTACCTGCTATCCGTTTCATAATAGGGGTTAATCCAACTTTCTTACTAATGCTATCATTCCTAACCCACCTTATGCAATGTACACCCTGATATACTTACACCGTGAAACAAATTGTATGGTCTTCAATTTTCACCTGTCGGCTAGAATTGTTGTGCTGTGCCTCCTACTAAATTAAACTTAAGACAAAAAGCATGTGCTTCCAATCCTTGTCTCTAATAACTTCAAGCAGTTTAATGCATCAACCCAGTCCCTTCTACTGAACAAAACTTATACACCAAATCATTTTCCTGGACAAGGGCAATTAAGAGAGATTAAAACTGGAAGATATAGAATGATATTTTATGGACAGGCTATTATGGAGAGAAAATTGGAAGGCCAGTGAAAAACATTAATAAGAATAATTTTATCTCTACAACAATTTATTTTGTAATCAGTATGTATGATAGAATGACAAATGTAAAGTTTGGTTCCTGATTTCATACCCTTGTTTCATAAGTATTATGGATTTCTGAGTGAATTTAGCTGGAGGGAGGTGCTTGTAATGGTAAGTGGATAGAATATGTAAGTTTGATTGGTATGTGCATATATGATATATCGAGTTTGACTTGTTGTTTGTAATAAGGCAATGAGTTTGTGGTTTCTGTAAGGAATAACTGAAGAAGTTTGTCTGGGTTGTATGAGTCTTGCACTTGGTATAGCTTGTTCTTCTTTTGTTATGTTTTTTTGAGGTTACATTTCTTGTTATTTGCTTTTTAATTATTAGAAAAATGACCGAGGTGTTTATTTTTGTCCCTCTTAATGACGGAATGAACTTGTATGGTTGTTGTCTGAACTCTGATATATGGGTACACTGTTGATTTCTTATGTATTTTCATATAAAGAAGGCTTCCAGTTCTTTAGGGACATGTGAGTTTATTTGACATGGTGTGAAGGATAAGTTTTGGGATAAAAGTGCTATCTGAAATTTATAAATTTGCGATCAGTAGGTTTTGGAGGAGGCTAGAGTTGGAAATTTCTTATTTTGCAGTTGAATTTATGGTCTTGCATCTTATAGGCACACTTTGTTGACTTTGCATGGGGTTCATTTGTTTGCAAAGATCCTCTATGCTATCTGCAGTTTGTACTATTTCCTTTCTAACTCCACGAGTTTGTATGGATGATTTGTTTCTTGTAATATTGGCTGCAACTTTTGCTTATTTTTTAATTAAGTATTTGGTTCATGCAGCTGCAAATGGAGTTGTCATTGCAACAGAGAAGAAACTGCCGTCTATTTTGGTCGATGAAGCATCAGTATGTTTCTCTTTCTTTGGATCAATTTCTGTATGTTATGAATGTGACCAATTATTTTTTAATTTGTCCTCTTAAAAGTTGTATTTAATATGGTTATGCTATTGTTTGTCTTATACTTTTCCTGCATCCCTTATAAATCATTCGACATTCTTTTTTAATTTGTTAGTGTTGTTTTCTCAGTTTTTCTAATAAACCTTCTATGTCTAGTCCCAGTACTTGAAAATATAGTATGCCACATTATGAAGCACGGACGCCTCTAGAAGTAGGCGTGTTGCGGTGTCTAACAGGCGTCGGTGTCCGACACTTATATGACACTTGTCAGAAAAGTCAAACAAGTGTTAGAAAAGTCAGACAAGTGTCCCCAAAAAATTGGTCTTTTTTTCTTGCTTCGACACATTTTGAATTGGTGTCAATACCCATATGACACTCATACAACATGTGTCCGATAATTCGGACAAGTTTTCTTTAAAAAATTGTGTTTTTCTTTTCCTCAACACACTTTATACATTTTCTAGACAAATATCACGCATGACTAGAAGGGTTAAACATGTACTGAAGTAATGTTATCAATCAAGGATTAAAGACATTAATTTTGATTAGAATATTTTTAACTCTTTTGATATTAGATGAATAAATGAAACTCAAATACTATAACATATATAGCGGTGTCGGTGTTGTAGGTTTTTGACCGCGGTGTCCGTGTCGGAGTCTGTGCTTCATAGATGTCACATTGTTTTTGTTTAATTTTTATTTGAATAGTATTTGCTAAGTAGTAAATGTTCTTATTATATCTGGATAATTAAAGATATTTGCCAGTATGGCCATTGATAAAATAAAATCTTTTGCCTAGTTTCTGCAAGCTGCTTGTGAACTTTCTTAAAAAAACTTCAAAGATATTTGTTTTTTCATTCCATTGGTTTGAGATTTGACACTTTCCGGTTCTTACACTTTTGGTCATATGATTGCAGGTCCAGAAAATTCAGTTATTAACACCAAATATAGGTGTTGTATACAGGTTTGTTTCTTCATACATGTTGAAGTTAAAACATATTTTCTTCAGCATTATTATTTTTGTTGTACTATAGTCTGTAGTAGTAGCTGCTTCATATAATGGCAGTTGATGGTTGGGTTTTGAATGTGTTCTTAAACATGAGACGCCATTGAAGTTTCTAGTAGGAATCCGGAGAAATTGAAATTAATGAATGATTGAATATAAGTGTATTATTGAAAACTAAATGTATTACAGAGAATTCTATCCAAGGATTTTCCCTTACTAAACCGATGAACCCTACTAACCTGATTCCCCACTAGAATAGAAGTATTTCATGAAAAACTTGAAAGGCTACCTAACTAATCTTACTAATGGACCAAACCCTAACAGATCAGTTGTCCTTATTCTACTTAATGCTACATCCTAGCAGTTTCCAACTTTTTAAGAACTGGAAAGGCAGCCTGAGGGAAGTGACTCAACTTTTTTCTGGGAAAAATCTTTAGCATTTATTATGTATAGTATGGAAATAGGCATGCCATGCTTAAACCTTCTTAAAGAAATGATAGAAGGAAAACATATGTTTTCAGTCAAAACATTATTAAGTGTTGTAATTGGCTTTAATTTTGTTCTTTGTTGTTCAGTGGCATGGGTCCTGATTTCCGAGTTTTGGTACGAAAAAGCAGGAAACAAGCTGAGCAGTATCACCGATTATATAAAGTACAGTATATAATTTTATATTGCAACATTCCTCTTTTTCTGCGTATATTTGGTCAATATGCTTCAGTTATAATGTTATCACCTTCACTTTAGATTGGATTTTATTGTTTAAATGTTACTTGGTAGCATAACATGTCCGTCCATATGTCTTATGCCGATTCCCTTATTTTCTATTGTTTGGAATGAGTTAGGACACATTTCTTCAACCATGGAATCTTAATTATTCTTGTTGCAGCCTTGTTGGGGATGTATTCTGAGCAGTGTTGTTTATGGCGGATTATGGAAAATTGTGGCGAGCCAAAAATCCGCCATAAAAATATGGCCGAACGGAAAATTGCGGAAGCATGGCGGACAAACAAAAAACATTATTTATACTCACAAAAAAACAGTAATAGCACCAAAAAATAAAAAAATCAGAAGTGATAAAAATTAGATAACAGAATTATATATGGAGGAAACTAGAATTCATATAAGGTAAATAAAATAGATGTGGCATGTCTTAAGTACCTCAAAACATTCCATTCATAAAAGACATTATAAAACAGAACTATAAAATTATTTGGCACGAACGTTTGGTGCAAGCTTTAACATTGCACTCCTTTCCCATTAGATGGCCTTTGGCTCTTGTTATTCCTCCATTAATCAATTTTGTGCAAAAAATACAGCGAGTAGAGTTTGTATCTCCGTTAACTATATCTATATATTTTCATTTAGGGTCACTTCTCTTTGAACCGTCAACCCTAGAGGTTAGGGAGGTTTCCTGATTTTCAGGCATTGTCTAAAACTACACAAAGTAGAAAATTAAATAAAAACAGAGCACTTAAAATGAGATAAATACAGCACTAAAAAACAGAGCAGGACAAAAGAAAAGGAAGAACCGACAAAGTAGAACAGAAAAGAGAGTACTGTGGGAAGGAATAAATATGAAAAGAAATAAAAAATAAGAGAGAAAAAAAATGAAGAAAAAGAGTACCTGATAGTTGTGTAAGAAGATAAGAGAAGCAGATGGAGAAGAAAAGTCTGTGGAGAAGCGAGAGAAGAGAAGAGAGACAGAGGGAGAAGAAAAGTCTGTGGAGAATGGAAAGGTTGTAGGGTTTTGGTTTTATAAATATTTAATTAGAGTATTTAATGGTGGTTATTAGTATTTAACCACAACTATAATTATTTTGGGCCTGTTTACTGGTCGGGTAAAAAAATAGCAGACAAGAATTTTAAAATTTTTGAAAAAGAAAAGCAATTTGTGCCATACCGCCATGCACGTTAAACTCGTGGCGGCCGCCATGGTGCCGCAATGCAAAATCCGCAACGCCATGGCTTTTCCATGGTGCTATGTTGAAAATCCACAACTGCAATCCGCCATGGCTGCAATTTGACAACACTGATTCTGAGTGTTGGTTTGTTACACATTGATTACATATTCCACAGAGCATTTCTTTTTCTGGATAGTGCCAAGTACTTTTTAATTGTGTTTGTTAAAAAACCCCACAATTTCTGCTATTGATAATCTTTATCCATGTGAATATATATTTTCTAGTCCACATGTCTTTTCTGTTATCTTTTCGTATTCGATAATGGATCTTTTATTTAAAGTAGACTATCTGATATTGTAAGTTAAAATTGCAGGAACCAATCCCTGTCACTCAACTAGTAAGGGAAGTTGCCGCGGTTATGCAGGAATTTACTCAGTCTGGGTAATAACTCAGTTTGTAGTGTCTGCACTTTATTTTCACAGCTGAATTTTTTCTTTATATATTCATTGCATATAAGTTTATGTCATGAATGAATCTCATCTCTCCCACTACACAAAAATTAGGATAGTGAAAAATACTGTTTAATCAAGGTAAAATTAGCGTTTTATCCTCATCAATTTTCAGTTTTTGGTAAAATCCACAACTTCTACCTGTGTACTGTTTTTTCAACTTGTCTTCCAAATTATCCCCTCACTAAAATTTTCCAACTACAGTTTCATTTCAGCCCCTTTAATTTTAATCATAAGATTATTTTTATAACAAAAAAATTGCCAAAATTATCCATCCAATCAACATGAACTATCCATTGTGATGCTTTTCAAAGTTAATAGATATTAATTTTTATAACTAAATTGCATGTTGAGGGATTGTTTCACGAAAAAACCTCAATTATCATGATATGTTGAAGGAAATTTGAAATGAGTCTAAGACAAGGTGTCTGAAATTTGAGACATTTTCCTCTCTGAAAGAACTTGTGTTGATCCAATGACAGTAGCCTCATGAGTTGGTTTCAATGCAACTAACATTTTGGTTCCTACTCGAATTCCACAATGTACCTCTAATTTAGTGCAGTGAACTTAGTTAGACCCTCTTATTTTTATTCTCAACAGCTCCTTTTTCTTCACATCTTCCCCCTTTACTATCTTTGGAGTTTTAATATTTCTTTTTTTTGCCCTAATAGTGGTGTTAGGCCTTTTGGAGTGTCCTTGCTAGTTGCTGGATTTGATGATAATGGACCACAACTATATCAGGTATGACATGCTGTACATGTAAATAGTCTAGACAATATTCATTCATTGGCAAAAAGCAGTGTTCTTTGTATTGCTGATTGAGGAGGATGTTGCACCGGATTTTTTCTTCTTCTGCACTTAGAAATGTTTAAAGTTAATGATGTTTTTAGATAGAGAATGGGAAATTGAAGGTTGTTCTTGGTCAATTTGTTTTTGCTGTAGGTCGATCCATCTGGTTCATATTTTTCTTGGAAAGCTTCCGCTATGGGGAAAAATGTTTCTAATGCTAAGACATTTCTTGAAAAGAGGTATGCTTTAAGATAAATGATGATAATATTGTAGGTAAATATGCAGTGTATCAATGTATGATGTCTAGTTGTGTCCATTAGGCGGTTTGAAACTTAATTTTTGAGGTTGTTGTAACTTTTCATTTCTGTTTGATGTTAGTATTGTTGATTATAATTATACCTAAATGCTTATCAATTCAATTTTTTCTTCATTCCCATTGTAGGTACACTGATGATATGGAACTCGATGATGCAGTCCACACAGCAATATTGACACTGAAGGAAGGGTAGGAGAAATGCCATTTAAAGTCTATACATTGAATAAAACTTTAGTGAAAATATCATATTTAACTATTACAGTCAATTAGGATGCTTAAAAAACTTTTTACCTTTTTTTTGTTTCTGTTTTCATTCTATCAATGTTTTTTTCCTGGCATATGTAGTATCTGCTAGCTTTGGTGTTTCAGAATTATAAATTGAAGAAGGAAATGTATTTAAGACTAGTTTAATGGGTTCACTTCAAAAAAAAAAATAGAGGCTAATCCTATCTAGGGTGATAAAGCAAATTTTATATTAGTGATCTTGACTTTACCAAGGAACATCCCTCAAAAGTCACCATGAGCTGACTTTATGGTATTGGTAGCAAGGTTCTTTGGAAAATTAGAAAATGAAAGGGAGTGAGAACTGTTTATATTTTTTCATTGACAAATTTTACACTGTCTGTTTCTATTCTCTTGTTTGCCTTACTGTATTTTGCAAACTATCCGATCTTTCCTAGTCTCTGAAACTATTCCATTTGTTTTCTTTTGTTGGCGTTTTCTAGGTTTGAGGGACAGATCTCAGCAAAAAACATTGAAATTGGCATAATTGGCGCGGACAAAAAGTTCAGGTGCATATCTCCGTTCACTAAAATATAATTTAGCTGACTTTTTTATCTTGTATTTGACCTTTTCAGTACTTACTTATTTGAACCTTGCTTTGTCTGGTTTCTGTCATCGATCAAGTTGAGTTAAATTTTTGGTTGCCCAATCACTAATGAATAAATTAGGAGTATGTTGAAATACAGGATAAGTTGCTTCCCAAATATTTGACGGAATGGTTGGGACTGGGAAGTGAAAATAGAAACTCCTAACCAGAGCTTGAAGCTCCTAGACCAAAGAATATTCTCCTATCTGTTTTCTAACAAGCTTTCTGAATGACTTCACACTACCATTCATTCTTTTTTATAACAGTAAATCCCTTACAATCAGGGAATATCCTAACCAACTCAACCTTCTAGAAGCTGTAAGTGTGTGACTTGGGCCAATTGATTAAGCCATCAAATCTGTTGGGCCATGGTGTCCTATCAGAAACTATAAATTCCCAGGCACAGTCACTGCTTGTAGCCATGGTTGCCCGGCACCATGCTGTTGCCCTACAGTCTCTACTATTGTCGCCACCATACATTCCTCCCCTGCCACCGAACACCCTCTGTTGTCACTATCTGACATCCTCCATTGTCACTGATATCCCTTATTTATTGTGGTCAAACACCCCTCAATCTTTGCCCAACACTCTCCCCAACTGCTCCTCTACTTATTCACCACCACCACCACCACCGACTGCTGCCATTGCCACAAACACTTCTCTACAGTCATCAAATACTGTCCGAGATCATTGGTGCTAGGAACACCCCACCACCTGCCATTGCTGTCACTTGTGACCTTCCTTGCCATTGCCACCCATACTCTGTTAGCCACAATTAAGCAAGTGAGGATTAGGATGGAAAGGGGAGATGCATGAAATGGAAACAGTAGGGGAACTAGATTGGTGTGTGACATGTTTTAATACAAATCAATGAAAAACTCTTTTTATTTCAAAAAATAATCTAACAGTATTAAATTTAAGTTAACTAAAATTAATTCCATCTTAGACAAACCTGTTTTGTTTCTTTGAAGTTTATACTTGAAAGTCATAATACTGAAAACTTGCAACCAATTGATAAAGTTTGGAAGTTCTTGTTTCTTGTCCCCAAGTTTTGAAATCAATGACTTGTATATTCCTTTTCTTCACATACTCTACTGTATATCTTTTTAAAGGGGCTATTTAACTGGGAAAGATTATTTTGTTTTGAATGCCTGATTTCTCATGTTAATAGTTTGTTAATTAATTATATTGCAGGGTATTGACACCAGCTGAAATTGATGATTATCTGGGTGAAGTAGAATGATCTTGCAATGAAGAATGCATCCTTATGTTCCCAAAGTTGGTGTTTGTTTCATAGTTGAGTTTAATTGAATTTCAAAGATGAGTTGATAATGAAGACTTGTGATGGCACTGGCAAATTTGTGAGCTACTCTTGTAGTGTGGCCAACAAACTTTCTCCAAAGCCGCCACAATTACTATATACAAACCTAGCTTGTTCGAATATATGATGAGAAAATCACTTTTAATGACCATTCTAATTTATTTTCCCTTTTATGATCTGATTGCACATTCTCTCTTTGTTTTCCATCTTGCTAGTACTTAATAATTTATAACTATTTTTACCTTTTCTTTTTGAATAAAAACCAAAACATTTAGCAGGGTATCATGGCCTTGATAGAAAACAATATTCAAAGGAGGGATTGATACCCAACAACAATAAAACTGTGATTACAAACCCAGCCAAAGCTTGTGCTGTCACATTTCCCTTCTTATGAACAATATTGAACAAAAATAAAAAACATTAGTATCTTCATTTCCAAATCATTGGCATAGTTGCGCTAGTTTCTATGAATTGCTTTAATAACCCCTTCAGCATTATTAAATAAATAACTGCAATCCTACACCCTATATTTGTGGAGATAAGAGCTTGTTTGGTTGCTTGGGCTTCTGATTTATTCACGTCTTCAAAATCACTCAAAACCTTTGTTTTTAGGGGATTGTTTATTGGTAAAAAATCACTTCTGAATGCACAAAAGATGTACACATCTCAATGTAGTTTCCAAAATAGGCCAAAATGAAGCTGAAAAAAAAATCCGAAAGTTAACTCAGACTGGACCCGGAAGCACACTTCCGGACTAAACTTACTTTTTGTTTCCTGTTAATTATACAATGTACCTAATCGATATTCTTGTTTCCCTTTTGTTAATTTGTTAATCTGTTAATCATAGACAAAATAAAATACAAAACAATAAATAAGCAAGTAAAATGGAATAAATGCGAAAGGCACCCACAACATGAGAATATTTTCAAGTTTGCATGAGGGATTTATTTGCATGATTTCGGGATTCAATAAATCTATCATTTTTAAGTATTTAGTGTCATTATTTCTTAGCTATGCTTCAGGATAAGTAAGTTTGTGTCATTTGAAGGATGTATTGGAAAACGAGACCCAGTTTCTGTTGGCTCAAAGAGAACTGAACAAGACGAAGAAACAGTTGGAAAATGTCAAGAGAATCAATATAAGGCTACGTGGCACATCAAAAATTGACATAGAACCTCAACATTGTTAGAATAAAAAATCTACAATGGAATCAAGGCTACGTTACACACCAAGAATTGACATAGAACCTCAACAGTGTTAGAATAAAAAAATCTGCAATGGAATTTGAAGAATCAATCGACAGAAAAAAATGTAGACTCTATGTTTCATTCTAGTGGTAAGATGAAGATCATGTTGATTGATTCGAATTTGCTTCTCTGAGTGGTAAAATCAATAAATCTTGAAGATTTGATTGAGAGGACAGAAGCAATGTCAATAAATCTTCCTCACTCATCCATACATGTTCGGTTCTTTTAACATTATGATTGTGCACATTGTTAGAAAGCGATATACCTATCCATCACACTGTAAATCATAAACCGAATCTCCTACTTCTCTTTTTCTTCAACTCTATCTGTTTTCTGTTCTTTACACACTTGATTTTTGGCACAATGAACAACTGATCCTCGAAGATTGATGCAAGTGTGCAATTTAAGCAGATAAAAGAACATTGTTCAAGTCAGTTGTTAGTTACTGTTAGAAAGAAACTCTAAACAAAGGGTCTATAGTGATTGTGTCAAAATGACAGCTCTTTTGTCAAATCTACTTTTTGATTTTCCAGTTATGGGATGAGCGAGGCGCAGTTGCAATGCCTTCATAGTAATTCGACTCAAGCTTTCCTCTATTCCAAGCTTTCACAAATTCTGCAAACAGCTCCCGCGCTGACTCTGATAACAGATCAGAGAAAAACACATTCTTCTCTTCTTTCAGCCACGTAGCAAACTCATTATTCTTAGCAAAATAGTCATCACTTGACAATTCTTGAAAATCCTACATTTGAAATAAACATAAGCCATAAATACCAACCACTTGATAGCTAATCTCAACAATCACAATTTCTGACTAAATCATAAATATCAATAACTGGATATTAACATTTTTAGTAATATTGGGAAAAGGTACACAACTCACCACATTGACTTCACCTTTGCTGCGTTTACTTTTGTGCTTGTCTTTTGATTTCTTCTCTGAAATGACGACAGAATATCAATATAAAATGAAGTATCATTATTATAATTACTTAAAAGTAAAGTCTTTCAAAATACTATTTCCTAGTCTCACATTCTTCATATATGTTTTGAAATGTGTTTATAAGAGGCATCTCACCTTATAAACCAGTTTTGTAAGGTTGAATTAGGTCTAACCCAAATTTTAAGACTAGGATAGACTTCAATTAGATACAATGAAGGTAATCTAGGATTTACTATGATAAAGGCAGCAAGGTTTCTGATATGGAGGCAGGGTCTCCCAGACTTAACCATGGTACCATCGTAGAATTTGAACTAGGTCTAACTCAACTTCACAAGTTTAGCTCAATAAGTGAAGGGCTGTCTAAGCCTTATAAAGATTACTTGGGCTATATTGCTAGTCAATGTGAGATCTCAACGAAGTAACATCTGTATGGGTTAGGGATATATTGTAACTGAGGTGGTAGTTTCTAATTGGTAGGTTTTCTTCCCAATATTTGAGTTAATACCGTTTTTAAGTAATTAGGATTCTTAGCTATCGATTTCGTTTTTTCATTAACTGTTCAGTCTTTAATTTAGAATAAAATTTCATTGGTTGTCTCTTGTCTCCCCTCGTGATTCCCATTTCCCCCATTTCTATGTTCTTTCTTATCTAAAAAATCTCCCTCAAATTTGTCTTTCTTCTGTATTATGTTTGGTTTGTGCTACATTAATAAAAGCATCCGAACTGAAAATTTCAAATTCCATATTGGATAAGCCTTGAATGATCATTTTTTGAAGGATCACAGAAAGACCTAAATTAACTTCATTGCAGCTAACCGAAACCTATCTTAGTCTTAAAATTTGGGTTGGACCTAATTCAACCCTACAAAACCGTTTTATAAGGTGAGAGAAGCTTATTATGAACACATTTCAAGCCATATCTCATTGAAAGTGAGAATCTCAACACTCTTCCCTCACGCCCAAGACTTGACATATGGAACATGACCCGATAGTGATTACCCCAACAAATCTTGAATATGTTATGATACTATCTTAAAAGTTGAGTTGGACATAATTCAACCCTCAAAATCCGGTTTCTAAAGTAAGGGACACCTCTCACTTCTAAACACATTTTCAGGCCATATGTTATTTAATGAGGAACTCTCAACACCTAAATTTGTTATATGTGTGTAGTCTTGCAAACTTCACAGTCACACTCCAAATATCCTATACTAGGCGTGATAGGGCACGTTGAGATTGAGAATAGCTCTATAATCCAAGCGAGCATCTGAGGTTAGTTAAGCGTAAACCAAATTCTATGATACTCGACACATTCAATCAAACATACATCATCAATATTTCCAAAGGGAAAGATAGGAATAGGTATCATGTTCCTCTGTTTAGAATAATTTTATTAAGTAGAGACATGGTTCAGATATTATATAAACAATCACAAGTTAAACCACTTTGAAAACAACATTACTTACAAACAAATACAAAGTTTAAAGTTACCAATTTACCATGCATTGAATGTCTAGGTTGGGCATTCTTATCAATTTCAGTTATTCAAGGCTTTAATATAACAAGTTCTAAAAAAGTTGAACTTCGTCATCTATACCAGAAAATCAAACCTACACCTAAATATGCAACTAAGCCCCATAATAAAAATGACTTCTTAGCCTTGCAGCAATTGCATAGAAACAAAGTATATTTCAACACCGAAATATATTGACCAACTAATCATAAATGGATATTTGGACTGACTAAGTTGAGTTTAAATCTACTGCTATAGGCACTTGCGAGACTCTTTGGATAACTTATCAAAAGTGCTTATAGCTTACACGAAACCAATTTGACTTTAATAAGCATGTACTCCAATAATAGTCACTTAATGTATGTTTGGTTTAACTTTTGGAAGATTCAAAAGCAATTCTAGAGATGTAGAATTGACTTAGGAATAATTTTAAGGTGTTTGGTTCTTCTAAAATAGAATCAATTCTGCCTCCCAAATTGATTCCACTTGAAGCTAAAATTTGTAGTTTTTGAGTCAAACGTGATTTTTTCATTGAAATGTACTGTCCAACTTACTTCTACATACATTTATACAAACATAAATCACTTTACTTTTTAACTCACTTATAGCTAGAATCAATTTTCCATAATCAATTCATTCAAAATCACTTTTTTCACCGCAAAATCAAACACCGAGAATCAATTTTACAGAATCAATAAATTCAAAATCACTTTTTTTCATTGCAGAACCAAACACCCAGAATCAATTTTATAATCAATTTTCCAGAATCAATTAATTCAAAATCAATTCTTTTCACCGCATAACCAAACACACACTTAATTGAGCTATTTATCCAAACAGGGCTGAAGAGCTTGAACCAAACATAATCAAATAAATAAATAATGATGTACCCTTTTCAGATTTATCTTTGGAGTGTTTCTTGTCCTTCCTTTTGTCTTTCTTTTCCCTCTTCCGGTTCTTCTTTTCCTCATCATCTACCACTCTCTTCCTCTTGTTTTTCTTCTCATCTGCGAATTAATTAACACTAAGATACAAAATTAATACTAATAATATGCAAAAATCCTATTTTGAAGAACTAGTGAATCAAATTTTCAGCTAAATGAGTAAGATTAACTGCACAAAAAGAAAAACCCTAACTTTTTTCCTCCGATTCAGCAAAAGAGTGACGCACAGCGGATGAAAAGGAGAAATTGAATTGGGTAGAGGAAGAATGAAGTACC